GCTCCTCCTTGAAGATAACGGTCTGGCCAGAGGGAGAAGGCAGAGTATGCCCTGGGCCCCCTCATTCCTGTTGGACCAGCTGGTAGGAGGGGTCTGAGCTCTGGGGCCTTCGTTTCAGAAGGCAGTCTGACCTCTAGTGGTCACCTTTATAGTCAGGGCATGGCCCAGGGGGATATTTAGGGCAGTCCCTCTTGAGGTGGCCTGGCTTTTGACAGCCGTAGCGGTTGAATGTAGTTGTTGGGTTCTTCTTGGGGCCCTGAAAATCAGACTTAGGGTCTGTTTCTCTTAGTGCTGCAGCAAAGGCAGCTGTTTTTTCTCCATCTCTTTGTTTTCTCTCCTTGGCCTCCTCCTCCTCACGGCTATAAAATACTGAGGAGGCAATTCCTACATCTCAAGTGAGCCATCTGGGGCAAAAGCCATTTTTTGTAGCTTTTTTCTACTATTTGGGGCTGGCTGAGTAATAAACTTATCTTTAAGAATAGTTTATCCCTCTACTGAACTGGGATCCAGGAAAGTATGCTTTATCAATGCCTCTTGTCTAAGAAAGCAGAGGGGTGTTCTTTCCATCCTCCCAGTGCATTGGGACCCCACAACCACTTAGTGTCCTCTCCCCAGCTGTCAACACAGACGGCAGGAACATGTGGATGAAGTCCTCGGCCTGCTAGTCAGTCTCAGCACCATCAGGTGCGAAGTGCCCCAGGCAGGTAACCTAGACACATACCTTCTCCATGAAGGCACTTCTTCAGAGTCTGAATGTTGGGCACCCACGTAATCCATGAAGTCTCAGTGCAGACCTCTCCGGAGCTCCATGTGCTCCTCCACCACAGCCTGTACACTTAGGGGGAGAATGGCCTCCAGGGCATCTCCCTGGGTATTGCGCAAGGTCCTCCTGGTTTATGGCTCCCGAATGGCTCCCGCGTCCCCAGTCAGCTCGACCTCTGCATCCTTGGGCGTCGGTACCCTAGTGATCTCCGAGTCCTTGTTCATTGGCTGCTCCTCTACTGACTCCGGACCTCTCTGGCTCTCAAGGGCAGGGCGAAGAGCGACCCGCTGTGTGGCATGTTTTCCCAGAGGTTTCTCCATGTCAGGATGGTTCACGCACGTGTCCGGGCGGGCCTCTTGGGTCGGTGCTTCTCTGTGGCGTGGCATTTCTTGACTGCACAGCGGTCGGCCCGAGGGCTGGCACACATCTCCACGCCACTTCCCGGGCGCCTGCGGCCTGCCTGCCTCCCCAGGTGCCCACGCGACCAAGTGCACCGGGCCCCAAAGGGCCCGCGCTCCCCAGCCCCACGGCCTCCTGGAGCGGGCGCTTGCGGCCTCTAGGTTTGTACATTGTTGAAATGTTTGTCTTACCTCTCCAGCTAGCACTGGTGAATTACCTTATTCTGTCAGTTTTGGGACTCTATGTTAGTTATATACATGTTTATACTTGTTATAGCATGCAGATGAGGTAATGATTTAATCATCACAACATACCGTTTCTAATAAAACTTATCATCTTTAAGTCTGTTTTGTAGAACAGTATAGCCACTTCTACTTTACTTTCTCTTTCATGATATCTATCTATATCAATATCTGTATCTATATCTATAGATAGATAAATCAATAGATAGATAGATAGATATTCTCCCCTCTGTCTTTCTAGTTTCAGCCTGTTTTCCCCTGGATTTCATTGTTTTTTGTCTTTGTTCTCCAGTACTAGGGATTGAACACATGGCCTCGCACGTGCTTGTTGAGAGTTGTACCACTGGGCTACATCTCCAGCCTGTTTGTGCCTTCAAATCTAAAGTGTGTCTGCTGCGGGCACGGTGGTGCACACTTGTGATGTCAGCACTAGGGAGGCTGAGGCAGGAGGATCACAGTGACTTTGAGGCCAGCCTGGCCTATGTAGTAAGATTTTGTCTCAAAAGACAAAAACACAACAAAATAAGGTAAAGTAAAATGTGTCTAGTGGGAGAGCAGGCAACTGGATTTTTTAAATGTAATCTGCAAATCCATGGGTATCCATGCTTTTCAATTGGAAAGTTTATTATAACAAATATACAGTTACTGATAAGATAGGGTTTATGTTTGCCATTCTATTTGTTTTCTAAATGTCTTACTTATGTTTCTTTAGTTACTTTTTTCTGCCCTGCTGCATTTCTGTAAAATACATGCTTTTGTTTCACATGGCATGCTTTTTCTGTATATTTTGAGGAGCTTTTCAGTGGTTGCCCTAGGGATTCCAGTTAGTATCTTAACTTACCAAAGTCTAGTTTGGATTATTAATCTAATTTCTATGGAATTAAATAGTGCTGTATATTTAGTGGGTTTGGGGAAATGTATAATGGCACATATTCACCAAGACAGAATACAGAATATTTTATTTACCTTTCCTCCTCCACCCAAGCCCTGGCAGCTGTGGCCTTTCTACCTTCTCTGCACTTTGCCTAGTTGAATCATGCCGTGTCAGGGAACACACGCCCGAGACAGCAGCGGCAAGGAGGAGCGGGTTCTGTGGGCTTGGGGTTTCACAGGCGCCCGCCCCGGTAGATGGTTCTGTTGCTTTGGCCGGTGTTGAGGCAGAAACTCAGCAGGAAGCCGGTGCTGGCTGGCACGAAGCTGTTCACCCCTGGTGCTGGACAGCGGAGGGGGAGGGGCCGGGCGCTCACGTCCCTGTCATGGCACCACCGCCAGCGACTCCCCTCCACGGCCCCTGCCTCCCGAAAGTCCAGCCTCCTCCCCACAACACTGCCGGCTGGGACCATACCTGAACACTGGGACGTTTCCAGACCTGGCACGCAACAGTCTGCACTCCTTTCAGATTGGCTTCTTTCAGTTAGTAACATGCACTTCAGGTTACTCCGTGTCTTTTCTTTCTTTCTGTCCTTTGCTTTTGTATTTGTTTTTTCAGACAGCACTCCTATGTAGTTCAGGCTGGCCTTCAACTCACAATGTATTGCAGTGACCCTCCTGCCTCAGCCTCCTGAGTGCTGGGATTATATGCATGAGCCACCACATGGTTTTCATGGTTTGCTAGCTCGTATCTTTTTTTTTTTTTTTTTTTGTCTTTTTGGGACAGGGTCTTGCCAGGCAGTTCAGGCTGGCCTTAAGCTCACTTTGTAGCCCAGGCTGGCCTCGAACTCACACAACGATTCTCCTGCCTCAGTCTCCCGAGGGCTGGGATTACGGGTGTGCACCACCACGCCCGGCTTAGCTCATATCTTTTTAATGCCAGATAATACTCCAGTATCTGGAGATACTCCCAAGACTTGGCAGCCGTGCACAAAGCTGGTATAAACTTGCATGCACAAGTTTTGTGTGAACACATTTTTAACTTGGCCCTAAAGAACACAGTTGCGACATCATAGGTAAGAGTATGGGATCTGGGGCTGTAGCGCCTCAAGGAATGTTTGACTTAAGTCAAACCTGCTGGTAGAAGTATCCAGTAGGCACTTTGACACAGATCTGGCCAAGAGGTAGAAGTTAAGATAAAACAGTTGTTACAGAAATGTTTCAACAAGTGACATGTTTTCCAGAGATCGCAAGTGTCCTTTCCCAGATTTTTTCACAATAAGCAAGCATTGCATCAATAGTCAGAAAAAAAATACAGCCAAAAAGGACGCTGTAGCACCATCAGACAGAGACACAGGCCCGCCGCGTGGTGAGACCCCGCGGTGCTGCCACGGAGGCCTCTGTGTGCTTCGCATGGAGCCAGACACTTGTGGAAGAGACTCGGGGAGAAGGGAACTCCAGCTGGCACGCATTCAGAGACCACGGCACCACGGGGCCCTCAGGAGCAGCTCGTGAAAGCCAGTGGTCCGCGGGGCATTAGCTCAGGTCTACTCCACAGTGGGGGCCACATCCCTGCTCCCATCCTCCAGTTACTTCTCCAGCTCCAGCACGCGCAGAATGCCCACGTTTCCCCTCACTGGTGGAGCGGGGCTGTTACACTGGCAAAGACCATGTAAAGCAACCCCACCTTTCCAGGGCACTGCAGGTATTACTGCCATTACCAAGAACTTCAAAGATACAGGGTAGCCAGGCGTGATGGGGCACACCTTTAATCCAGGCACTCAGGAGGCTGAGGCAGGAGGGCTGCCGTGAATTCGAGGCCAGCTGGGCTACACAGTGAGTTCAAGGCCAGCCTGCAGTACAAAGCAAGACCCTGTCTCAAACAACAGCAACAACAAAAAAGATGCAAGGGTGATGATTCCCATCATATCCTTAATCTCCCTTTGCTTTGTGGCTGGATCTCGGGAAATGAGTGGATTATTGAAATCTTACCCAGAGGGAGCTCCAAACATAGTTGCTGTAACAGATAAAACTTTATGGCTGGAACAAATTAACACATCTTCTAGTACCTGGTATATACCTATTAACCTGGCAAATGTCTCTTTGTTCTTTCTATAAGACCCACCAGAAGCCACTGGCCTCCATCTGGCAAGGCTGCAATACCCTCTCATTGCCTTCCTCGGGGGTGGAGCTGCTCCCCAGTGCTGTGTCATAATTTAGCCTGCAGGGACCTTGATTACCTCTTCCTTTCCCGAATACTGGGTCACTCGTCTGCTGCGCTAATGGTGCTGCGCTGACTGGTCCTGGAGGAGGAGGAGTAACTACTCCAGACTTACTGGTGGGATATTTAGATGTCAGAGGTTAGGAAATGAACCTCACAAAACTCAGGGACCCACTGCTGCCCAGTGAGAGGTCGAGGGGCCTAGAAATCCAGGGCTTATTGAGATTTCCAAGGTGATGGATCAGGGCCAGAAGTTCATACGAGAAGAGTGACTGGAAGGAGAAAGTGAACTTTGAGTGGCAGTCACTCTCAGAGACCCAGAATGTCACTCGGAAGACGGCGGTCGCCAGGCAGGAGGCGCTGGTGGGCCGCGCTGGCCCTCGCAGGTAACTGTTTCTCCTCTGTTTGCTGCCCTAGCCCAGGACGGTCGTCAGAACTGGCTCGCTCTGGGCGGCGCCCGTGAGAAAAGGCTCTACAACAGGGCAGGTGGTTGTGCGAGCTGCTCTGCACGCGGCAGCGCGGGCCGGCACACCCCAAAGTAACGGCTGCCGGAGATGCCTTTGGAGGCCTTGGGAGGCTCCTGTGGCTGCAGCACAGCAGAAGCCTCTGGAATTCTAGAGCAAAGCCTTGGGAGCCACCTGCGAGAACTACTCTCGGTTTTTTGTTTTCTGATTTTTATTTTGCCTTTTTTTTTTTGAGACAAGATTTTGCTATGCAGTTCAGGCTAGCCTTGAACTCACTTTGTAGCCCAGGATGGCCTCAAACTGGCAGTGAACCTCCTGCCTCAGCCACCCCAGTGCTAGGATTGCAAGCCTGCACCACCACACCTAGCTACCCTCCTTTTGAGAGACAGCTCTAGCTTGCTGCTGGGCCTTCGTAGAGACTGGATCCCTAATTTTGGGCCACCAAGTTACCGTACAACCCGAGCCTGAATCTAGTCCCTCCCCTCTCTCTGCTTGCAGCCTGTCACCGGGTGTACAGCTTTCTCCCCATCCCCGTCCACCACGCTGTTTCTGCTTTGGAGCCAGCTGACCGCAGACTGCGACAAAATAAACCCTCCTCCTGTGAACTGAGGGTGAAAGGTGTTTTCCCCAGTGATAGGAAAGTGCCTGAGACAATAGATGAGATTAAACCCATAATGAGGTGGCTTTAAGGGAGATTATTCCAGATAACCTGGTAGGACTGGTCCAGCTATTTTTCTACAGGGGTTTTGTCATGGATGGACTCTGAGTTTTGTCAAATGCTTTTCTGCATACATTGAGCTGATTGTGTGATTTTTATCCTTGCTTCTGTTTGTGTGGTATATTATATTTATTGGGATGACTCCCACTTGGCCATAATGATTTATTGCACTGTTGGCCAATATCTTGTTGGGGATTTTTGTAATAATGTTTATTAAGGAGATTGGCCTGTAGGTATATTTTTCAGTTGGGTCTTTTTATGTTTTTGGAACCTGGGTAATGTGTGTTTCCAAGAATGACTCCGGGAGTACTGCTTCCCTTTGGGTTTCATCAAAGAATTTGACTTAGATCTTCTCTAAATTTTTTTTTTTTTTTTTTTTTTGGTTTTTCTCCGGTACCGGGAACCGAACTCACGACCTTGCGCTTGCCAGGCAGGTGCTTTGCCGCTGAGCTAAATCCCCAGCCCCGATCTTCTCTAAATTTATTTTAGGATTTGGCCGTGAATCTGTCAGTACCTAGGTCTTCCTTAATTGGTAGGGCTTTATTTGTTTATTCTTTACTTCTTCAATTTTATTGACTGATATTAGATTCAGGATTTTCATATCTTCTTGGTTCAACTTTGATAGTTGATGTGTATCTAAGAATCTATTCATTTCTTCTTAATTTTCCATTTTATGAGACTAGTTTTCCAAAGTAGTTATCAATGATTTTCAGGATTTCAGCAGAATCCATAGTGGTTTTGCCTTTTTTCCTTTTCTTTTTTTTTTCTTTTGTCTTTTTGAGACAGGGTCTTGATATGCAGCTCAGGCTGGCCTTGAGCTCACTTTGTAGCCCAGGCTGGTCTCAAACTCCCAACAATCCTCCTGCCTCAGCCTCCCAAGTGCTGGAATTACAGGCCTGCACCACCATGCCTGGCTTTCCCTTTTTTTTTTAGTGAGGGTCTTACTATGTAGCTCAGGCTGACCTTGAACTCACTGTGTAGCACAGGCTAGCCTCAAATTCATGCCCCTCCAGAGTGCTAGGATTACAGGTGTGTACCAACCACACCCAGATTAAACTCTGCTTTTGAATGTGGGAAAAAAAGCGTAGGAGCTGAGGATGTCAGCAGCCTCTAGAGGCTGGGGAGGGCCAGTAAACATGCTTTCATAGAGCAGCCCTGCTAATGGGAGCGTTAGCGTGGTGGAGTTCAAGTTGGGCTTGAGGAATACAGAAGTATAATGTAATAAACTGGTGTCATTTTTGATATGATCGGGCCAAGACCCACACAGAACCAGACCGGACCTCCTGACACGAGAGGAGTCTTTTTTAATAGAGTGGGGAGAGCAACATGGTGGGCTGCCCAGCGGACTAGCTCAGCCCCGAGGTGAGCAAAGCATGGGGTTCTTAAGCTGTCTGTGAGCCAGAACATTTTCTGGGAGGGGGTGTGTGTGGGCCAGAACAGCCCGAGCGGGGTGGGTTGTTTGTAAGAGTTGAACGTCTGGTTCTGCCAAGGCGGATGAGGGCGAGGTTGGCTTTTGTGGAGGGGAACTGGAGGGGACAGGTGACGAGGAGGGAGTTTTTATCAACTCCTTAATAAAAGCTTAAATCTCCCGGCCGGGGGGTGAGTTGCCTTGTGACTTATCAATTTTAAGTCACTGTATTAGTTTCCGTAGGCCTCTTTATCAACCATAAACTTGGTGGTCTAAATAGAAATTTATTCTCTCAAAGTGCTGGAGGCCGAGAGGCCAGAAATCAAGGTGTCGGCAGGTTGGTGTTCCCGCGGAAGCTCTGCGGATTTCGCTCTTACCTCTTCCGTGGTTAGTGGCCGTGCTGTCTGTGCCCCAGGGCCTGCGTCTGCGTCTGTCTGCTCGCTCTCTCGTGAGGACACAGTCATCCGGTTAGGGCCGACTTGGATAATCTAGGGTGATCCCATCTCAAGAGCTTAGTTATATCAGCAAAGGCTGGTTTTATTCCAAATAAGCTTATTGTCTTAACTTTTTCAGACTGCTACAGTAAAACACCATAAACCAGGTGGCTGATGAACAGCAGACGTTTATTTCTCACAGAGTTGGAGGCTGGACAATCCAAAATTAAGACGTCAGCAGGGTCAGTTCCTGCTTCCTAGGTGACCGCTGCACCTCACATGAAACCAGGGGGCAAAGCAGCTCTCCGGGTTTTCTCTTTGTTTGTTTTCTAATAAGGCACTAATCCCATCCAGGAGGGCTCCTGTTCTGTGGCTCTCTCGCCTCCCAAAAGTCTGGCTCCCTAGTACCACCACCTTGGTGATTGGATCCAGCACAGGGGTGTGGGGCTGCGGGGGTCTAAACAAACATTCCGACCAGCACAGTAAATTCTGCCGGCCCCCGGGATGCACATCTGCTGCGGGAGGTTCTTCAGCTCAGCAGAGGCACTGTTTGTGCAGCTCTGCCCCTGACAGAAACCTCCTACGGGACAGTGTTAGCCTGTACCCAGAACTGCAGCCTGAACTTTGTAATCGCCTGCATGCAGAGTCCAGAACCGCCCCCCAGCCCCACAGTTCACAGGCAGATTCCTTGCAATAACTCTCCTAATACAAATCTACTAGCTTTGCTTTTCTGGCTGACGCTGACTTATATAACATGCCTGTGTAAATATCAGCCTGATAAAGACCCAGAATACCACGACGTCCCCAGGAATTTCCCACCTGCCCCTTTTCAGTCGGCCTTAGTCCCCCTCCCTCTCCCAGACCAGCACTTCCTGTCTTCCTTCACCATGGATTAGTGGTGTTTAACACAGAACTTCGTATAGATGGACTCATGCGGGCTGTGGAGGTGGGGGTGTTTGTGCACTGGGAATTAACCCCAGTGCATTCACACTGAGCTGCATCCTGACATGATCGGGCTGAGACCCACACAGAACCAGACCGGACCTCCTGACACGAGAGGAGTCTTTATGGAGTGGGGAGAGCAACATGGCGGGCTGCCCAGCGGACTAGCTCAGCCCCGAGCTGAGCAAAGCATGGGGTTTTTAAGCTGTCTGTGAGCCAGAACATTTTCTGGGAGGGGGTGTGTGTGGGCCAGAACAGCCCGAGCGGGGTGGGTTGTTTGTAAGAGTTGAACGTCTGGTTCTGCCAAGGCGGATGAGGGCGAGGTTGGCTTTTGTGGAGGGGAACTGGAGGGGGACAGGTGAAGAGGAAGGAGTTTTTATTAACTCCTTAATAAAAGCGCTTAAATCTCGGGGGGGGGGTGAGTTGCCTTGTGACTTACCACATCCCTAGTCCTTTTTCATTTGTTTATCTATTTTTATACTTCTTTATTTTGAGACAGGGTCTCATTAAGTCACGAAGTTGCCCAGTCTAAGCTCAAACTTGTGACCCTCCTGCCTGGCCTGGCAGTGCACACCTGTAATTCCAGCATTCAGGAAGCTCAGGCAGGAGGAGCACCCCACATTTTAGGACAGCCTGAGCTACATGACGAATTTTAAGGCCAGCCTGAACTGTACAATGAGACCCTGTCTCAAAAATCCAGAAACAAACAAAGAAAACCTTTCTACTATTATATGTGATAACTGCTGTAAGGTTCGTGTCTAGATGCCCTCCAGAGCGGGCTTTTGGGAGGTGACTACAGCATGAGTACATGACACTTACCAGTGGGCTGGTCCACTGATGAGCTGTGCTGTCGGGAGTGGAGCCTGGCGGGAGGAGGTGGGTCACTGGGGACGTGGCCCGGGAGGGTCCGTCTCCCTCCTCCTCCCTTGATCCCTCTCTGCTTCCTGCAGCCCTGCCGTGGTCTGTTTCTCCTCTGGCAGGCCCAGGCCCCTCTGCCGTGCTGCCCTGCCTTGAAGCCAGCTGACTATGAACTGAAACCTCTACAAATGTGAGCCAGGATAAACCTCTCCTCTCTGGAGTGGTGGGTGTCGGCGTCTCACTGTGTCTCCGTGATGAGAGAGTAAGTAAGACTCCTGCTTCTCGGTGAATATTTGGAAAACTGGTAGGAAGGAAACCCAGCCATGTCCTGCCTCCCAGCGATGGCTAGACCAGCACGTCGTCACCTCTGTTCCAAACTTTTTGCTGCGTATCTTAAAAGCATGAACATGTGCTGTATCAAAGTGAATGCAGCAGTGTTTTAAAAATTAATGCATCTTCTTATTTTAAAGTGGAAGCATACATATATAAAATTCAGGAAGCACAAAAATGCATAAACAAAATTAAAGCCATCTAGAATCACACAGTTAAAAACAACCACAGTTAGTACCTTAACTGCCCCCTTAGTCTTTGTCTAGCATTTCCTTTCCGTACAGATAAGCTTACAATGTACAAGGTTTTTAAGTCCAGTGAGCGAAGGTCTGAATGTATGATGACAGACAGGGACGTGGTGACAGTACTTACCACAAGTTAAAGAGGCCAAAAGAGTCACTGCATGTTCCCTGTGCATTCACGAGGACATCAAACAGGCAGACACTTAAGGCCTGAGTTACATTTTCCACTAATATGAAACCGGCCGTGGATGACCGTGTCAGTTTGTTTTTTACATCCAAGTGAATCCACATCGTTTACACAAGAACACTGCACACTCTCAGCCACGGTCCTCTAGGAGAAGAAAGAAACAGCTGTGGGTTAATTAAAAGTTTTTCACATCTCACAAAGAAAAGCATATGTTGTACCTTAAACATTCTGCACATTCAAATTGATATTAGAGAGCTTTAGCAGACAAATAAGATGATTGATAATAGCTTCCAGAAGTTCTAATTGGTGTAATAGGCTTGGTTTTGTCTTGTTAAAGTTCCAAAGAATTCATGATCAAAGCCAAAGACTCACTTGTGTGTAAACTAATAAACGTCCACCACAGCTGCTGGGCAAAGCACAGTGTGAGCTCACACAGCTGACAAAGGGCCGGAGCGAGCCGCGTGAAGTGGGAGCGCTTCCTCTCCACCAACAGCCAGGACACACGGGAGCCGCGGTCACAGGAAAGTGTGCAGCCTGTGTGCCGGAATTCCAGCGCACAGCTCTCTGACGCGGTGGAGACGGCCATCACTGCCACTATGCTGTTCTGCTACTGTCACTGCTTGGAGCTTTCTGCTGCTGTTGGTGTCAAACCTGATTAAGTGTCGTCTCCGGCCAACCCACCCGTCCCAGAGCTCTTAGGCCGTAAGCGGGCAAGTCTCCAGGTAAAGGTTTGTCCCCTCCAGCAACGCCCGACTGGTCAGCCATCTCTGCAGCTCATCGGTGTCCGCGACCACTCCTGTCCAGCTACTGCAGCAGAGCAGCGTCAGCTGGATCCTGAGTTTGTGCAGGAAGAGCGGGCCCTCCCGGGGCCCACCGCACCCTGCAGGGCACCCGACCCACTCCCGCCCGTCACGCGTGCTCTTCGTCTCACAACCGGAAGTGCTGTCCTTGTGAAACGATGACTCCCCGCTCCTGCTCTGCAAGCCCACGGCCACCACCGCTCCAGCCTCTCTAAGTGTGACCCCTCCGGTGTCGCGTACGGGAAGAAGCCGATAGTGTTTCTTTCCGCAAATGACTCCTCTCACCTAGCGTAGTGATCTCACGGTCCACCTGTGTAGCCTGTGTCAGGATCTTCCCTTTTCTTGGAGGTTGTCACTGGCTTGTTTCATGATAATAGAAATTAAAACTGAGGCAGCAGCACAGATTATAGGCAAAAGCTTTAACTGGAAAGTAAGGAAAAATTGGACGGTCCGGAAAGAAAAACTAAAGGGCGCTGTTCTGACGGTGATCAGGCGGCCTTCACAAGGGAAGCAGGAAAACGAGGACGGACCCCGGCTTAGGGGCTGCAGGGAGAAGTTCTGACAGAGACCAGACCGGCCCCTTCGGGAAGGAAGTAGCACTTGCGTTTCAGGGCAGCTGAGGTGGGCTAAGGTGCGGTGCACGTTCTCTCAGTCCTGGTTTCACAGCTCTGGAGAAATAAATCCCCACAGCGTGATGGGCAGTTGGGTTCCCACAGGTGACCGCTCCTGCCAAGAGAGGCAGTCTGAGTCCAGTGGGCGCTGTTGGAAGTCCAAGGTGACAACAGATGTAGGCAGTGACTGCAGATTGCAGGTGTTCATCCGAGGGGTTAAAACCTGGGAGCTGACTCCCCTCGGTAGAGAGAGGTTGGGTAAAGTCAGGACTAATAAACCTTGTACTACCAATTTTGACGAACACTCCCTAAACGATTAATTCTCCCCGCTCCCACACACAGGCCAAGCAGAAACTACTGGATTTTCTCTGTCCATTTCTGATATTCTGTGGAGAAGGACATTCTTTGATTAGAATGCACTGAGGACACAATGGTTTGTTTAACTTTGCGTTTACCATCCTCCTGTCTCAGCCTCTTGAGTGCTGGGATTACAGACATGTCTCCGATTACATGTGGAAGAGGATAATCCTCTGATTACCTTTGCTAAAACGTTTTGTATCCAGCCATCAGTACTACTACGCCCTAGGTTCCCGCTCAATAAAAGGTGACTGAAATTGGTAGGAGGGACAGTCCTAGAAGCTGCAGTCCGAGACGCTGTCAGCCCCTGGTCCCAGACTTCTGCCTCTCTTGGTTTTCTTGTCTCTCTTTACTTTTCTCATTCATCCACAGGCACCTCGTTCTCGGGACCGGTTCACCCTGGAGACATAGGGATAAGCAGTCCCACAATAATCGTAATTTGTTTTCCTAAAGCCACACTTACCTGAATGTAACAATTTTATTATGTTTTTAAAAATCCAGTTTTTAGGACTCTTCTAGATTAATCATCTATTTTTTATTTTATTGATTTCTGTTCTTTACTATTTCATTTTTACTTTCTTTGGATGTTTTTTTTTTTTCCAGTACCGGGAATCGAACTCACAACCTTGCACTTACCAGGCAGGTGCTGTGCCGCTGAGCTAAATCCCCAGGCCCATTTCTTTGGATTTAATTTGCTGTTATTTTTCTGACTTTTTAAAGGTAGAACTTTAGATTGACTTTAAAACCTTTATATATATATATGTGTGTGTGTATATAAAACCTATATATATATAATATATATATATATGTGTGTGTGTTTCCAAAGCTGCATCTTCCAAATTTAAGGTACTTTTTCATTATTGAGTTCAACACATTCTTTTGCTTCCATGTGACTTCTTTTTATTGTAATGGTAGGCATATTTTGAAGCATATTGCTTCACTCCCTATTGCTGGAGAATTAAAAAATTGTATTTTTTGTTATTATTTTCTATTTTAATTTTGTGGTGGTTAGTCAAAGATTCTTTACCATTCAATCATCTGATATTGACTGAAAGTTGTTTCACTTTCTAGCTTGTAGAGTACTTTGTGAACATTATGCGTATATCTGAAAACTACTTCTTGTTAGCAAAAGCTTGAGGTCTTTGGTTGTAAGAATGTGAAAGCATTTCATTACATACAATGTATTCTCTATTCTGTTTTGTAGGAATACGGTTTAGGTCAAACCAGTTAACTGCTTTTTATTTTTAAAAATTTTGGGTTTTTAAAAATATACATATTTTTTGTCTTTTTGAGGGTCTCACTATGCAGTTCAGGCTGGTCTTGAACTCACTTTGTAGCCCAGGCTAGCCTTGAACTCACATCGATCCTCCTGCCTCAGCCTCCTGAGTGCTGGGATTACAGGCATGTGCCACCATACTCAGCCGTAGGTTATATTTTTCTTCTTCTTTCTTATTTCTACTTCTACTTTCTTATTTTTTAGCCTTTGCTCCTCCTCCTTCTTTTTCTTCTCCTGTTCTTCTTCATACTCTTGCTGAATTCATACTCCCTGTTCTTTTTTTTTTTTTTTTTTGTACTGGCACTTGAACTCAGAACCCTGCACTTGCCAGGCAGGCGTGTGTGCCGCTGAGCTATCTCCCCGGCATGCTCTCTGTTCCAAAAGCCATTTTTTTCTTTTTCTTGCTCAGTTCTCAGTCTTTCTTGCTCTGCTTCTTCTCTTTCTTTTCCTCCATCTTGTATTAGCAGAGACAAGTCCTCCTCCGGAGCCAGGGTCAGCTTTCCAGTCTGCTCCGCACCTTTCTCTATGATGTGCTCCATTTTCCCAGATTTTCGGCAGCTTTCAGTTTTCCCACAACCCCTTTCCTGATTTCTGGAGATCTATTTCTGTTTTATTTCTTCACCAAATTGTTTTCCAGGCATTTCACTTCCAGGTCCCAAGGAGCCTGTATTTTGCTGTTGGTCTCCATGCTGCCGTTTTTTAATCTCCAAAAATTTTTAAGTTTTTATTGCTGTGTGTTTGTGATACATAATAACATGCATTTAAAAAAACATAACAACATTCATCTTAGGGAACCCGTACACATTCCTGCCACATCTGTCTGGTTTTTAGATACCCTTCCTCCCCCTGCTCCCCCGACCCCTTTCCTGGAATCCCCTCCCCACCTCCCCAAAGTCTGCCTCCCTGGTTCCTTTTTTTATTTCCTCATCTCTTTTATTTTACTTTTTAAATTATTTATATTTTGGGTTTCTCATATAAAGGAACCATACAATATTTAACTTTATGTACCTGATTTATTTTATTTAGTATTAAAGTCTCAACATCCGTTTTCCTACAAATGAATTGTTTATCTTTTTTTTTTTTTTTTTTTTGTCTTTTTTGAGACAGAGTCTCACTACCCAGTTCAGGCTAGACTTGAACTCACTTTGTAGCCCAGATTGGCCTTCAACTTACAATGATCCTCCTGCCTCAGCCTCCCTAGTGCTGGGATTACTGGTGTGCACCATCACCACCATATCCTGCCAAGTTTATCTTTTTTTATTATAAAGAGAATTTTAAAAATAATAAAATAACAACATAGACAAAAAAAGCAAAAACATAAATGACACAGGGTTTCAAAACAAAATAATAGGAATTAACAGTGGCTGTTACATTACATATTGTTATCTTCAACAAAGCTGCCCATATTACCAAATGTAAGAATGGAAGATTGAAAAAAAAGAATGCAAGATTGATCAAACCATTAAAGAGAATAAAAACTAAAAAAAAAAATAGAAACGATACAGAGTATGGCTAAACAGTACTGCATTTTAATTGCTTTTTAAATTTTTCTTTACCTTTACTTATTTTTGTGTGGGCCTGTCCTGTCCAGTACTGCCAGAAATGTAGTAAAGCCTTTAACTACAAGTCCTTGCCTATTTCTTCCGTTGATTCTACTCGTTTCCAAGTATTTCAAAGCTTACCTGGCGTGTACACATATTAAACATTATTTTTTCTTAATGAATTGCCCCGTTTGTCATGACCGAATGTTCCTGTTTTGGTGGTGCTCCTTGATGTGAAGTCTACTTTCACGTTAGTGTAGCCTCTCCAACTGTCTTCCGATCGGTGTGTGCAGGGTAGTACCTTTTGCCGGCTTGCGTTGGGTACCTTTGTTTGTGGGTTGGTTTGTTAAGGCAAGATCTTATTACGCAGCCCAGGCTGGCCTTGAGCTTGAGGTCCTTTTGCCTGGGACTCCGGAGTGCTAGGCCGGCACGTGGATGGCACAGCTTGGCTTGTGGCTGTTGTTTTGTTTTCTGTTTTGGGTTTTGCTTTTTGGTGTTTTGAGACTGCGTCTCGCCATGTAGCCCAGGCTGGCCTCAAACCCACAGCAGTCCTCCCGCGTCCGCCTCGGCAGGGCTGGGGCCACAGCGCCGCCACGCGCGGCGGTCTGCGATCGCAGTGCTTAGTGAGTACCGAGATTACGCCCGCAGCTGCGTTTCAGGCTAACGCTCTTTGTTTCTGTCCGTCCCACCCGCTTTTTGTTCCTTCTGGATCGAGCGTATTTCTGTCTTCTCTCCTCCTCTCTTGCGGTTTTAGCTATACTTTTCTGTTCATTGCGCTAGTAATTACAGTATGTGACGTGATCAGTTTTATCAAATTTAGAGTTACCAGTGGAGTGCTGTCCCTCCTCCTAGGGCGCGAGGCCCTTCGGCGCCAGCGCCGCCGCGAGCAGCCCGCTCCCCAGCCCGCCCGCCCGCGCTCCCG